AGTAAAATAGTTTGAAGCAGGCACAATCATGGTTAAACTGTTTGTTCTCCAGCTAAATAATGGGGTCTTTCAAGTTCCTGAATAGAGATGATCTTCTGTATTTTGTATGACCTCTACGACTTTTTTGGTGCTGCAAAAAGTACAGAAAAATAGATAAGAGCAGTCTTATCAACATATTGCTGCACAAAGTTGTGTTGGGGAAAAAACAAACAGATGCCACATACACAGTACCATAAGGATTTAAGAAAACACATGATTCCTTTTAGGTATATGGCTGGATCAACTCCAAGCATGTGTGGAAGGGTGGGGATCAGCCTGAATAACATTAAGATAAGTTGGCATCTTCTGGTACTGAGCTTAGTTTTCTGAGTAGCTGAGTGAAAACCTGGCATTGTAGCATGCCAGCTGCAGTGAACCTGGCCTGGTATGAAGTTGAAAGCTGGATAAAGGACCCTGGTGTAAGATCCTTTCCATGCATCCAGTTGTGTTACCTAATTTTGTCCCTAAGCCTGTTTAACAGGGCTCAAAACCAAGTGTACAGAGTCCGTACTATTGTTCATTGCACAATTGTATGGTCACCCAGCCAGATATTGTGGACTTTGATTTGTGTGCGTTATTCATCAGCCCTCACTGGGTTTCCCTGGTGCTTAGCGTAGACTTTCCTGAACAGCTGGGCAGGCATTTATGTGAGGGGGAGAACTAAATGTGCAGAATTCAGTCAGTTTCTTCTGGCTGCTTCTATGACAATTTGAATGTCTGTGAGACTCATGTCAAACTCTGGTTGGTTGTTGGTTGTTTTTTGACACAAACAAAATTTTGTTTGCTTATATTAATTTCAGTATTCAAAATATTTTTTGAAAAACTGCTAATCTCCTAGACTATTTTGCCTAGCATTTGTGAGGTTATTTCAAGTGGATTTAGAGATTACAGAAGAGCTCGGATGTTATGCATAAAATTCAGTGTGTTCCAGTAGGAAGATCAAAGGACTAGAAGTCACTTACTTCCTACAGAGTCTGACTTCTCCCATCAGCGTCCTCACAAGTTCTGCATGCCTTTCCACCCACTCCTTGTCTGCTTGTGCTCCTCACGACCCAGACACAAGCCACTACTGTGTACTGCAGCTAGTATGACCTGCTGAGAGACAGAGCACTCTGTATCTGCTTGGATATATATGCCATGTGTGACTTCAGGGAAATCATAGTAAAGGAAATGACAAGTCAGTTGTCAGCAGAATGTGGTTGATACTTTCCTTTCAGGTTGAAGGGGGCGGTCTGGTTGGCCATGACTTTTTCATCTGTACCTGCAACCCCTTCTGCATACAGAAATCAAAGGCTTAAGTGGTAAAGGCTGAAATTCAGGGAAGGAGGCAGATACAGCACACAAGGACATGATTTTTCTCAGATGCTGTGTTTATGGAATAGATCTTTATGGAACAGATCTATAGGTCCGCATATCCCACTGTTCTCTGTTCCCACTACAGTGCTCAGCATATGTGGAAGACTCAGCAGGCATTTATTTGTGGATAATTAGGGATGGGATGTCTGTGTCTCCAGGGTATGTAGTGTGTTCTTCAGGCAGCTGCACAGCAATTAATTTGACAGAGTTATCCTGAATCGTTCTTTGAAACATTCACTGATCAAAATTGAATACAATAAGAATCTTAACTGAAAGAAACAAAGCTTCTCTGAATTGGACTGACAAGGACCTTTCCCTCTATTTCTGATGTTTTGAAAGCTGGTATACCCGGGTCTTGGGCTTACTGCTGTTGGAGTATATTACCTTATACTATTGCACTGCAGTTCTTTTTTTTTTTTTTCTTTTTTTTTTTCTGTTGAATATCTAAACTTATCAATAGATAGACAACTGTTTAGCATGTTTATAAATTAAATGATATAGGCAAGGAGCATTACTGAGGGACAGATTTTTCTGTACTGCTGTAGTTCACACAATAGTTGGTAGGCAGCTAGTCTTTATGGCTAAGCTACTGGAATAAGCCTAGTTGCAGCTCGTCTCCAGATGTTCTGCCCCATAGTGTGCAGGAGGCAAGGCTGTCAAGCTCCAAGGAGTTTTTTTATTTTTTTCAGTCAATGTCTCAGCCAAAGATGGAACATTGGACAATAAAAAGGGCTACCAGAGAAGTAGACCTTAAGGAATCCTTGAAATAGAGGTAAATATAAATAAAATATGGAAGAAACCTGGGTAACAGGTGAAATGCTGTCTGGTTTTCAAAGGACACTGCTCTGCTTTAGATATGCCAGGCTGGTAAGGGCAACATACACATTTAAAATCTATAACTTCCATTTCCAGTCTTGGATTGGTTTTGACCTCGCTAAAAAAAAAATCTTCCCTCTTGATAAAGGCAAGAATTAAATTCTGTCTGAAACTACTGTGGTTTTTGACTTGGAAGAAACAGGACCACACAGATGAAAAGAAAGAAATCTAGGAAATCCCTGATGAAAACCTTGCAGTTGCATATTTCTTCATATAGTTCCCTTGAACTAAATAATTTTTTTAATTTCTTACCTTTGGTGATTTTTAAATTTTTCTTTTCTCTGTGTCCAAAGTCTCATCTCTCAAAAGACAGGGAGAGCAAGCTACAAACAACAGATATCCAGTGAAGGTGGGTTTTTTCTAACTTGGAATTTCTGCATCAATAATTTAGAAAGTGATTAAAATTCTAGAACAGCAAAATGAAGCAGGTGCATGCATCACAGCCAGTGTGAAATGTCTTCCATCTTAACTTCAAAACTGAACAAGAGAGAGGAATGAAGCATATCTGTATCTGCTTTTGACTAATGGCTAAAGAAGGGGCTGAGAAGGATGAATAGAGGACACCTTTGCAAGGACCAAGAAGCCAAGAAATTTAGTAGGGTTCAGAAGGATAAGCTGCTTTCTACAGTCACCCAAGGTAGACAGAGCTGCATCATTTCTAGCCAAGAATATTGTTGGTTGGGATAGGAATAACAGCGTAGCAGCAGAGTGCCAGAATAGCACTGCTGTCTCAGGAATCAGTCCAGAGAGGGGGAAGGGTATGACTTCTTCCAGGATCAGTGGATAAACACAACTATGGACAGATGGATGATAGAAGTAATCTCTGAGGGATATTCCACAGAACTGCAGGGAAGCAAAAATAGTGGGGGGAGCATGGAGAGTGATTTGTCTCTTGTCAAGGTTTGGAACATGACAAAGTAATAAAAGACCCTAAAAGTTCTTCCCCAGCTTCACCTGACAAGCAGGATGAACTAACAGTGCTTCCAAACTAGTAAAATTTTTAGGTATGTTTTTTTTAAAATAGTCCAAAATAAACCAGTGAAAGCTCTGTGTTCAGGTATTTATATGGCTGTCATCACTGTAATATCTCAGCAGTAACTAATGAATTGGAATATTGACGTAATACAACATGGCTGGCAACTGAGATGAATAAGACATGTTCTTTTCTTATCTGTCTTGTCTTAACCTGCAGCTGATCTAACTAGAATGATTTTTCCCTCTTACTGCTTCTCAGTTCCTCCACTGCAGTTCAACTTTTCTGCAATTATTTCCCACCTCTAATTTTAGAAGTCTGAAAAAAAAAAGCTGCTTTTCTTCACTTTTTCCAGGTTTGAATAACCTTTCACCTTAACATTGATGGTTATTTGGGATAAGCAGGTAGTAGTGAAATGGATATACTCCATTTTATTCATAGGGGTTGACCCTTCATCATTTGTGTTACAGGGACGTAAGTGGATTGAGGTGTCAGTAAGACTACTTTATTTTCTCTATACTTTCCTAAGCTGCCTCTTGCATTGTAAATTAAATTTATGCAAATTAAGTTAATGCTGGAAATTTGTTTGTCTTGTGGCCAGTTTAATACTAATGGGATTCTAAGCCGTGCACTTTGTTTTATTAAATGATTTGGGGTTCATTAATGATGTAGTGTATAAGTATATGTCACTTTGCAACCTTGGATAGCTTTTTATGATGTAGGGCCAGAGACTCTGTTTGCTTTTTGGGGACTCTAAGAATCATTTCTTGTTGGGAGTTGCTCTAATGTGCCCCAGCTATCTCAGAAACAAATAATCCTTCTTTAGTCTTTTTTTTTGCCTCCAGCAATATTCACTTATTTTCCACAGTTCTTCCAGGAATGTGAGTGAAGGAAATGTCTATAAAACCCCTGTATTGTTAGCATGGACCTTGGAATTTTTGATAGCCCATGGCATCTCATTGTTTGGTAGCACACAGAAACAAACTCAGTGATCCTTACCATTTTTGGCAGTTTAAAGGGAATTTAATGAGCTCATTGCTATTTAAGATTCTTCTATACTTGCCATGTATAATAATGGGAATATGCAAAAACTGGCCTCTTTCGAAAATGTGCATGACGTAGAAACATTATTTTGAGCAAGTCAAGATCTGCTTTAGTCTGAAACAATACTTCATGTTGAAAAATATATCATAATCCTGTTAACAACACTGAAAGTACTGCTGCTTACTGGAGGAAAGGCTGTCACTTATCAGTTCAGAAAAAATAGCTACAAAGTTGTTTTTTTTTCCCATTCTGTTAAGAAATATCTAGTAACCAAGAACCAACTATTGCTAAGAAACTGATAAACTGCAAGAAAGTGGTGATGGTAAAGAGCACTTGCAATAAAGCCGCATTATGATAGGTTCAATTTTCTGTCATGAGGCCTCTGCCTGAAGTAGATCCATATCTTATCTTCTGACATTAGATTTCTTCTTGATGCTAGCAAAGCTGTTATTACGTGGCCAGAAAAATTTTTTTTTGACTTTGTGATCTCAGAACGCGCCAGGACATAAGGTTTAAGTGCTGAGGATTTAGGTAGTCCAGTGAGCTGTGAGATGATCTGGATTAGTGCCCTGACTGTCAACCCCAGGATGACTAGAAATCTAGGTCTCTGAATCCAATTCAGTATAATCAAAATAATTTTGCCTCCCCATTCCCATTAGCTTTTGAATGACCTTGTGCTGTTTGTTGTGATTGGTTTTGTTTATATGTAGTTATGTTAGCCAGGAGAAAATTACTCTCCCTGTCTCAGGAATGTGCATCCTTTGTGTTGACTGAAGTTAGAGTAATATACGTACAAGACCTATACATTGCCATTCATAGTTCTGCTGAGTTTTCAAGGGAGATTGAAGGCAGCCTTCTTCCCTCTTTTTCAGGTATGTCCCTTTGTTTAGACTGTGGAAAACGCTCATAATAATATTGCTTAAGCATTATGAATTCTCTGCATATGGTGTAGCTCTTCAGAATGTTTCCATATCACATCCTGGACCACAAGTGCTTGTGTGCTGTAGAATTCTGTGGGATTTGAGGCTGCTGTGTATTTTGTAGGATCAAGCACCTAATATTGATGCCGTGCCATTAGTCTTGAGGTTAATTGGCAGACCTTTCTTTTTTTCCCCCTTGAGTTTGCCTAAGCAGTGATGAATACTTAAATTCTGGGCACAGCTCATTCATGGGAAGACTGCTGAAGAAATAATTTCTCTTTCCTTGAGCCAAAGATTTGGGAAAAGAAACAAAAAAATCTGCTTCTGGCAGCTAACAGGACAGTCCCCAACTGTTTGTACTGTTACTGATTGGTAACTTTTTGTTCAGAGTACAGAGAGCAACTAGGGTCAGAAACCCAATGAGATGTCAGTATCATATGTGCTTCTGAGGAAGGAACTTTGTGGTTTCCTTTTAAAGGAAGCCCTATTAATTTAGCATTAATAATGTATTGAACTTTAAAGGCTCAAGGATATTGAGGCCGTTTCTTTGAAGTTGCTGAGTGTCCCCAAACCGCATAGAAATTAATGGGAGTGGAGGCCATGCAGTGCGATGAAAAGTAAGAGCTATTCTGAAGTTAATATCAGAAGATATCTTGCTGCTTCTTACTGCATTATTTTATAGGGCTCTTCAGACTTTATATCTAGACATGATTAAACAACTCATTGGAGAGGAACTACCCCATCTAACAACACAGAGAAGACTATTGTGTATTCTGGCACTCCTGTCAGAGACCCTCGAAAACTCTGAGACAGCCAAATTGTATTAATGTGGTTTAGGACTCAGGAAATCCTAAGCATGCCATCTGTGGCCGAGATGAAAGGTGCTGAGTATCTAGTGTTACCCTTTGACTTTCCCACACTGCTTGCAATCAGTATTATGTTCTAACTGCTGCGATACAGCTATGTATTTTTCTCCTAAAATAATTTAATTGCTTTGATTTCTAGCAGTAGGTCAGCTTTGATGCAATTTTGACACTTGTGCCAGAGAAGGAAAATAACTGTACACCATCCAAAAGTAGTGTGAATCCCATAGATATGTATGGGGTCTGAGGAAGCACAAGCTCACATCCCTAGTTGGTAGTAATTTGTAGGTAGAACCATCAGCATTCTTTCATGTTAAACAAAACTGCTCAGATTTCCCAGACAGCATAGAGAGCTGTATAGAAGTTCCCTGTCTCAGTCGTTTCAGAAATTAAATTTTGCTGAAGAAGAAATTATGGGAAAAGTATTATTTTAAAAATTGAAGCAAATAACATTAAGTGTAGCACTGCCTTAGTATTCCAGCCATGTTAGCCAACAATTACTCGGAGAGAGTGAACATACTGTCTTTTACATTATGTGGTCTAACTCTTGTACATGTGTGTTAGTCACATTAAAAGACAGCAGCTTTATAGGGATATTTGATGTTCTACAAATTGAGTTAGGAACAGTATGCAGAGTTTCATGTTAAATTGGGTGCAGTGACATAAAGTAATTCACCCTGCAGTGCAATCCATCATTTACATTGTTGTACTTAGGTGTTCAGGGAAGAGTGAGCCAAAATGATTTTAACTTTTTCTGACTAAAAGCTTTAGATACAACCTGTGGTTTTGCTCATTTATGTTAGAACTTAAAACAATTGCATGCTTGGGCATATATGGTTTATGGAAAAGTGCTTATTACAAGTTGGGACCCACTACCCAAAAGTATATATTTATACAGCTTCCTTTAAGAGCTTGGTATAGCATGTTCATCTCATCTTCATAAACATTATTGGGAATGATTCCTGCTTACACATAAGCTTATTTAAACTGTTTTGATAGTATTCAGAGGTCAGAAAGCAAGGAAGTTGTTAACTAATTATATTTCTGTCTTTTCTTGAACAGTGGCATGATAACTGGCATTACAAGCTTGTTTTTACAGGTAAATGAATGTAAATGCACAGTCACATGCAAGATTAATAGCAGAGGAAGAAATGATGTTCTGGAGTCCTGCCTGCCCTGTGCAGTGGCCTTTAGACTGGCTATCCTTTGCCTCTTCCCCTTTCCTCATCTTTTAAGATTTGAAATTCTGTAGTGAAAAGCTTCACTGGAAGGGATGACAATAGTATCTGCACAAGATCCTTCTCTTTGCTGAACAGAGCTGGGCTTATACACACATTTTACTTTCTGCAAACTGAGCTATTCCTAGATACTTGCAGAGGTCTGGTGAGAGAGTGCTTTAAGCATAATGTGTCCTAACAGGGGCTTACTGACTTGTAAACATCATAGTTTATGGTGCCTCAAGCAACATTTAGTGACGCTGGACACTCAGTGATCTCATCAAAAGCCAACTGCATAGGGACAGTAGATGCAGCAGTTAGCTATGTTGCAATGCTGTATCACATTGTTTGGTATGACTACATGCATACGTATGAGTCTATTTGTATGAAATATCACCCTTTGGCCTAGGTTTTTAATTGGAATCTTATCAGAAGACAAAATTACAATAAATAGAAAATACACTAAATAGTCAAGTCTCTGTGCCATTAGCAGAGTTCCCAGAATAGTGCCTTACTTTTGCCCTCAGACTTGATAAAAACAGGTCACGTCTGTTTTGCTTGTGTTGAATACTGTTTGGAATTCACAACAGCAGTGAGAGCTTTTACACATGGGGATGGTGAAAGAAGGATTTATGGAATTGGAAAGTATTAACTTAATGAAAGAGCATTTGCATGTTTTGTGAGCAAAACGTTATCCAAAAAAAAAAAAAATCTGGCCTAGCTTATGAAAGCATTTTATTTATTGATCCTTTATAATCCTTTCTTTTCTTTTTACTCCCTCATTGTATGGCGATGCATACAATGTAGGCTGTAGTATTCATAAGCAGGCTAACCTTTCTTGTTCTGTGACTACTCACTTATAAATGATGTTTTATATAGTGTCTGAAGTGTGAGTTGTTAGGTTCTTTTAATATAAAAAGGCTGCATAAAAACATAAAGCACAAATACAGGATGGGTGGAGAATGGATCAAAAGCTGCCCTGAGGAAAAGGATTTAGGGATGTTGGTGGGTGGAAAACTGACTATGAGCCAGCAATGTGCCCTCGCAGCCCAGAAAGCCAACCGTACCCTGGGCTGCATCCAGAGAAGTGTGGCAGCAGGTCAAGGGAGGGGATTCTCCCCACTCTGCTCTGGAAAGACCCCACCTGCAGTGCTGCTGCGTTCAGCTCTGGGACCCCCAGTGTAAGACAGACGTGGACCTGTTGGAGCAGGTACAGAGGAGGCCACGAGGATGATGAGGGGGCTGGAGCATCTCCCCTGTGAGGACAGGCTGAGAGAGTTGGGGTTGTTGGGCCAAGAGAGGAGAAGGCTCTGGGGAGACCTTAGAGCAGCCTCCCAGTACTTAAAGGGGCTGCAGGAAAGATGAGGAAGGACTCTTCATCAGGGGGTGTAGGGATAGGATGAGGGATAACAGTTTTAAACTGAAAGAGGGTCAATTTAGATTAGATCTAAGGAAGCAATTCCTCCCTGTGAGGGGGGTGAGGCCCTGGCACAGGTTGCCCAGAGAAGCTGTGGCTGCCCCCTCCCTGGCAGGGTTCAAGGCCAGGTTGGACGGGGCTTTGGGCAACCTGGGCTAGTGGAAGGTGTCCCTGCCCAGGGCAGGGGGGTTGGCACTGGATGATCTTTAAGGTCCCTTTCAACCTGAACCCATTGTAGGATTCTATGATCTTAAATAATAGCTGCAATTATGTACAGACTTGTTTTAAACAAACCAAGCGTTAATTATAGAGGGCTGAATCTTCAGCTAATTACATCTACTTAGTTCCCCTGTGGTCAAGTCCACTTTATACATGTGTATTTCATTCGCTTTAAGAGGCATTTGTTGGTGTGAGCCAAAAGCTGGTACTTGTATGACTGAAGATGTTGAAACTTGATTTTTTCAGATTGTTTCTGTTCCCTCCAAAATCTAGGCAACCCATCCTTGGGTTTAACAGTATGCAAAATATCCATATAAAATGTAGTAATTAAAATATTTAAAATAATTGCAAATGATGTACATTACCTAAAATTCAGAAAATGGAGTTTAGCAAAAAAAGATTAAAGTTCTTCCTACAGCCTTTTTAAAACCATCCTCACTGTTCTCTGTAGGGCTAATATTCTATTAGAACACATGATCTTCGGAAACACTACAGGAAAATTCCTCTAATTTTAACTTCTGCCATAAGGCACAGCCACCTTGGATTATTTGTCAATGACTGAAAAAGATACCTTGAGAGTGATGGAGCTAGTCAGAGTGAACTATGGAACTCTGAAAGGAAAGTCAAATAGCATTACATAGCTAAGGAAAAAATAGCTTACACTATCTGGGAGAGAACCAGGATAAGGCCTATAAAGCCAACAGTCTGTGGGACACAAAGGGTGGATATAAGTGAAGATCACAGCAGCATCTAACAAACATATCTTCCATTTTCAGTGTTCACCATTGCATTAGCAGATTCAAGGATTAATTTTTCTTGTAGTAGGCACTATGCCATTTTTCTGTGAGTTTCTTATCAAGGTATTAGCAGTGAATTAATGCCTTGCACTAATTTTATCAAACTAATGGCTCATAGTTGCAGCTGGTTTTCTTTTTAATCTCGTAACTATGCAGAAAGGGTAACAGTGATGAAAACGTTATCATGTATTTAATGCCAGGACAATACTAGCCAGGTTATCACAACCCAGACTCTTAGGATGTAAGTTAAGTAGCGATAAGCATGCAGAGTCATTAATATAGCAATGAGAAGAGCTCAGATCAATAAAATTCAGATGAAAAAAGATTTTTTTTTTCCCTAACTGCTGTGAGCCTGATTCTCCACAGCCTAGCATTTTTATTCTGTGTGAAATGGCAGTAAAGTGAATGGAGAATTCTGATCTGGCAGGATTCTACTCTTGGCCTGCGCTCAGATGTGAATGACATAAATGATGGCATCAGATACAAGCCTTTCTTTTATTTAAGTATAGAAAGTAAATAAGTAATTGTAGAATGACTTGTTTATGCCTTGCACATAAGCATATTTACTGAGGGGTATTTTGTATTAATTACAGTCTTTTATATTTTGTCAGCATTAGCATTCCACAAGATGAGGATCTCATTGCACTGCAAATTGTCTGCAGGTATTTCAGCTGCATCATGATACCTGGTATCTGATACAATGTTATCTGATGATTCCAAAATAGTTTTACTGACTGAGCAACAGCTTCTCTTTGAAATATAAGCCTACTCATTTTAACCTCTACACTAGATATAGTTAACTGCTGACTTGATGGGGCATTGGCATCTCTTTCTGTTTGCATTTACTGTACATTTTTATGATCTTGTACAATGCTGTTTGCCTCTACATGGAAATCACTAGGAAACAAAAATGCACAACATCTTGCAGAATTTAGCCTGTAATTTTATGGTCCACAATGAGACATACCTACAATAATCTGACAAAATGAAAGCAACACGTGTCTTATCAGCTCCAAATAAATATCCTGTCTCCTCTACAGCAGCTGCATTGAAAGAGATCTGACATAATGGTGTTATATCAGCAGAGCTACTAATCTCAGATACTAGTGATTTCAGTAGCGCAGGAAAGAACGCTGTAGCAAATGGAGGTCATTCAATATCCTCTAGCACTTTGGACAAACACGGCATTTTGGACTGTCCCTACTAATAGCAGAATACAGTGCTGATGCTAAAATTTGCTGTTGCCTACTTATGCAGGTAATCAGCTCCTAACAGCAATGTCTGTTCAGATGGGCCTGTTTATTTTGATGCCTTTGAAGAAGTAACAATGTTTCTCGGGAGCAAGAGACATACTCCAGGTTTTAGTGGTAAAAGCAGAAGTCTCTGAGGTATAAGAAATTTTTATTTTTTATTTTTTCGATATTTAGCCCTCCTTGGGAATAGAGAATTGCTTTCAGGACCTTTTGTCTCCTCAGTATCTTAGGTGACAGGTCATGCCAAAATAAAAAAAGAGTTGCCATGGAGGAGCTGCAGTGTTCTGGTAGGAACCCAGGAGTATCAGAATCCCCACAGCAAGCATGCATGTCTCTTTATGGTCCTCAAGTGGGAGAACTGCAGTGAGAGGTACAATAGTTTTACTTTAACTGAAATAAGGAGGATGCTGAGAGAATTTTGCTATTTTCAGTGTCAAAAGGTGGCATATATGAAGAATCCTTCTTGGCAACAATTCCCGAGCCATAAGGTTGAACCTGTTTACGCAGGCACAGTGCCATTCTGTCAGATGGGCACTGATACACCAATTGTAGAGGCCCTGTGTTGTACGTGCATCAGGTGTAAGCGTCCCAGATAGGATTCCCAGCAAGAATTGTCCATATGTTTGTTCATTCTAATTTTATATTCCCTTGTTCCATTACTAATCCAGGTAAGAGTCTGATTATGTTTCAAAATAGAGAACAGCTTTTTTCTCCTTTAATAAGACCTCTTGCTCACTTGCGTAACATAGATTGGAGTAATGGCTTAGGAGAAGTTTTTGGAAGACAAACTTTCCTGCCAGGCCTTACCAGACACCATCCTTATGCATACAGAGAAATGAACTTTATAAATCTTTTTATTTTCTAAGCAAAATCCCTGTAGGATCCATCAGAGTAAATCTTTGGCACCAAGCTGGATTTCACATGCACAGCAGAGTGGAAATCTGTGTTCAGTCACTCTCGGCACTATTTTTCAGGATGTTTTGCCTGAACTGGTATAAAACATTGAGGTTTCAGGGTTCAAGAAAGAGCATGGCACTGGGGAGTGTCTCCCTAGCTGCTCTCTCGCAACAACCACCTGCCTTTCCTCTTGATTTCCTCAGTGGCCTTAGTTTTCTGTAAATCTGCAGCACTCCCAGCATTGCTTTTGCCCTATCTTAGATATTTTATATGGCTATGGTACAAGATCTTATTTTGCTTACTGTAGTCCTTATTATGTGTTTCATTTTCCTGTGTATTGAAGAGATAAGGATCTGATATCTGTGGAATGTGCAGATTGATGCCAGGTCATGCTCTTCTCTGATAGCTGAAGCAATTGCACAGGCATCCAATTATTTAGTACAAAGCTTTGATAATCTAATTTTCTTGCTCATCTCATGCGGTCTGTTCCATACTAATGCAGCAGATTTGAAAAAAGTATGACAAAAAAATCTTCATCTTCCAGGTATTCCTTCTGGAATTAGCTTTACTAAGTGCTGGGGCAACACACTGAAGCAGAGCTGCAGAGCCAGCGTCTTTTGATTTGGGTTTAATTTAAACTCTGAATAATGGATCATATTTTTCTTCTGGACCTAGCATGTATCATTTAGATTGGCCAGAGTGGGGAAAAGCAATACATTTTTTGACTGTATATGTTTCTATGAATGCTGACAGTAAGCAGTTGCATTTGAAAATATCCATCTTTCCTGAAGTCTTCTTAATTTGCCTCTATCTACATATATACTTTTTTCACCCACTTTTAAAATGCAGCTGTCTCTGGTTGGCTGAAACAGCTTTAGCTGTGTATATTACTACAAGATGCGCTTTAATGTAATGTAATTTTCTGAGAAATTTTAAGTAGAAGAATGATTGCTGGGCTTTGTTGGGACTCACTTATTAGTATCTTCTCCTATTGCTGAAGCATCCTGAAATCTTTAAGGCCTTCTGTTGCAGAGCACAGAGGCATAAAAGCAACCTGCATAAACCAGTGCTGAGATCCAAAAAATTGCAGTTCAGACTGGATATGAATATTCTGCTGCTCAGATATTTTGATTGTGGGTTGGGATTTGCCATTTTCCAAATGTTTGTATAACGCAGTCCAGTACAACAAAGCCATACACAGTTTGACTTCTCTAGGCAATGATATAAAAGCTAAAATAACAAAGATAATGTCATCTGCAAACTGTAAAGCATGCACAGTGGAATAGTCCTTTCAGTTTAACATGTCACCATTCAATTAATGGAACGAGCATCAGTACTGCAAGGAAAAATCTGCATCCACACATACCCCATTCCACTAGTGTGTCTGGATTTCTGGTAAAGCAGAGTGTTGGTCCTTCTGTCAGTATGTTTAATTAACTTCAGCTTTACTTTTGTTTCTGCAATTTACAGTCAGTTAAATCATAAATATTGTTTTGTAACTGATAGAACAGTATGTAATGGTCCTCATCTTGTATCCTTTTTAGTCTGAATGTCACATCCTCTTTGTAATTTTTAATGACAACAACAATTTTTATTATATTGCTGGAACTTTTCCCGGGGTAATTGTGTCTTTTGTATATAATGTTATCTAGAAATGAAACTGCAGCAGAAAGCTGCTAAATCCAGCATCTTATGTAGCTGTGTATTTATGTTAAAAAAGGCTTGGACCTAGTGCAAGAGACTGAAAATATCTTATAAAACAAAACCAACCCCAAATTTAAGTTAACGGTACACAAGGTAGCTGAGTTGTCTGTAGCTCGGTGAGAATTGCTCTAAATATGAAAATACCAAGGAAAATACAAGTGAAGGCAGAACATATCTGCATATCAGCTCTGATCTGCTATCCTATGGAAATCAACTGCATGTTTGTCTTGCTCTGTGTGTGTATGCCCTTTGAAACTATTTCCAATTAACAGAGATTTTTACATTTTGATGACAAAATTTGCTCCAGTTCTGATTTCCTTCAGACAAAGAGAAATAATGACCTTACAAGTAGTAAACTGGCTGATCAAGGCCTTTCTGCTCTTGGCTTTTCAGGAATGTAGAGAAGTCATTTAAGCAACAGTCTCATCAGGGGCAAGCCTTATCCAAAGCTTAGACTTCTACTGTGACACCTTCAGGATATTGGTCAAAGATGCTTTTCATTGCGTAACTGCCCTGTGCTATCAAATGTAGCTGTAATAGTGTTGCATGTCACACACGCGGAACAGAAGCTGGGACCTTGCCTAGCTACCAGAATGATTGTGCTGGGGGATAAGTAGCAGGTTGCTTGCTGCATTGCAGACAGAGAAGATAGCAGGAAGAGCTGATACTCCTGCCTAAGCATTGTAGCATAAGGCAGTATTTGTGAAGCTATGGGTTATGCATTTCTGTTCTGGTTTTGGAACTCGGAGCACATGGGATGAGAGGAGAAGCAGTTACAGACACAGCTATTGCCTGTGGTTCACTCTGTCATTTCTACCCATTCAAAGTGAGAAATTATTGGGGAACTTGGGAAAGGAAGGGGAGAAACTGCTCTTCAGTTCACCGACTTGGACTTAGATATTGATTACTGTATATAAGTACACTCTTTTTCTTTGCATTTTTATCCCATACTGAATTTATGGGTGTCACAGAAACCATCAGTGCTGCTATAGATACTCATTTTCTGCCTGTATTCTTAAGTTTAGTGATCGGTTCTTCAGAGGCTGAGTTTGTTTTACTATATGAGAAACAAGGACAACGTCCTATAAAGTACAGATGCATAGCATAATATAATAAATTGAATAAAAATCACGGGAACTTGAGGACTATCATATCATCTTCTGTAGAAGATGATACCCTGTTTAGAGTTTTCAAAATTTATGTAATTAAATATTTACTATGCCTTGCCTTAATTTTGTGGTTTCTTTGATTATTTCTCTCTAGCTCAACAAAATTCACCAAAAATCCATGAAGGCTGGTGGGCTTATAAAGAGGTGGTCCAGGGAAGCTTTGTTCCAGGTAAGTGTAATTTTAAAATCTTAGTTTTTATTAAATATTTTTTCACTGGAATTAATATAGTTGGGTTTGGGGGAAAACTTTGGGGGGTTTTTTATCCAATTGAAAGTTTTGAAGTACACAAGTACTCAACATCACATTATAGTGAAGTGTAGAGAGCTTTTTGTCAATACATCGTCCAAACGCCATTGCTGGTTTTCATCAAAAAAATTGCTTTGATGACATTCCTGGGTTTTCTCTGTAAAACTAACATGATGCTACTTTGTGAATGTGTGTGTTCTGTGTACAGGAAAGAGAAAGGGAGGGCTGAAAAGCAGTATTGTTAACTGGATGAATTCACTTATCTGATGCAGCACTTTAGATAATCCCATTTCTACAGATTTAACAGTATATTAGGAAAGGAACTTAACTGAAACATGAACCTAACATGCAAGTTTCGCTTGAAATCCTAACTTGGCTTCAGTAAGATTTAGTAAATGGTACATAATCAGCAGGCAGCTAACAGGATCTAAATAAGCAATACCAGCTGAATTTGATAGGCAAAAGTGAAATCCAGGCTAGCAGTAGCCTAGCATTGGTCAGTATTTGGAGAACTCCTCCAAAACATGTGTATTGCTTGTCCCAATGCTTTGTACTCCTTGAGTATCATGTGATAGGCCTTAGCTTGTTCTTTTTAGTTCTGGATCTCTCTAACTTTTCAGGATTTAACCTCCCTGAGACACTAGTAGTTCTCAGACTGACAATTTTTGGGATTTGACCTACACTCAACACCTGATCTTTTTGTATTCACTTTCTGTAAATTATTTTATTCTTTCTTTCAAACAGGATTACTTTGTTGGGTCTTCACTGTTCCATTTCACTAGATCTTTCCACTTAGGAGTCAGGAAACTTTAGCAACCTCCATTTTCTGTTCAGTTGTGGAGCTGATTTAACAGTACATTCCTCATTCAGTATACACAGAAACATTCAGTGATTATTTTGTTCAGTATGTCTTCAGTGCAACTGAGATGAATATACATTAATTTATGTATATTAACTATATATTATAAGCTAAAATAGTGCTTCAAGTTCTGTCATGAATGCGTCATGAAAATTGCTACATGACCTTTATTTCCTCAAAGTACTAGAAAATATTACTTGGCTATTGTGTGAACTGTAGAATCTGTAGATTTGATCAGTCATCAGAGATTTTAACTGTTGTGACAACAGTTACAATCTGACACTCATATGAAGTATCCAAAATGCTGATTATCTTGATAGGAATACTAGTGCAAATGAAGTATTTCAACCCACAACTTTCTGGCACTGAAATACTTGTGGAAAGTACATATGAAAATCAACATCTACAAGCCTAGAGCTTAATTACATATTGATGTAGCATAAAGCAGCTTTTCAGATTTACTTGAGATTGGTTTGGGCTGTCAAAGATGCTGCAGTGTATTGTTATGCATGTTTAGATCCTAATGTTGATCGCAGAGGAAGAAACCCGGAGAACATAATCATATGCTTTCAAGAAATTTCAGCCTTCCTGATCTGCACGACCCAGGGAGATGCCCAGTAGAAGGTGAATGGAAAAAAAAAATCTGCTTAACAGACATTCTAATACTTCAGCTTAAAGAATGAAGAAAAATTTGTCAGCGTATAAAGAAACGTGTGATCAGAGAATGCTTGTGGTATTCTAGTCTTAATACCATGAGAAATTTGGGCTTGGGAACATCCGTAGAAGATTAAGGAGGAAACAGTCATGACAAACTTTCCAGACTTCTTAGACTAGTGTGGAGAGACATCTCCTTTCTGAGAGAACCCTGGATTATTCATACATGCTGAATATTGGACTAAACCTTGCACACATCCTCAAGAATTGGTCCAGAAAGACAATTATGAACAGTTCACTGAAGCAGCCATGAGGAGAGCAAGGGTAATGTAGGGGCCCCTTTCTTGCAGACTGTCATGTTTCTTTCAGATTTAACTCTGCAACCTGTAAGCCTCAGCAGAAGAGAGAAATCCCATGAATTTTTACAAAACAAACAAATAATTTTTTTTCAGCAGCACCTAGATTTTGGAGTCTTTAAAAATCATATTTAAAGCATTTCAAGGATGCATTTTATGGTTATGATCTCAGTCTAACACATCACAAAGGATATGTTAGTGCATATTAAGTTTATCCATAATGTTAGCAGTCACATATCAGATCTCGCATGAGATGGTAATTAGCACCTGAGAGGTGATAGCTGCGAGGCAGTCTGAGGAGCTGTAGCTGAAGTTGCTGACTGATGTGCACTGAAGCAAACTGCTATAGCCATCTGCCAAGATGTTTCCTTTCCACAGCTGTTTGTCCTGTCCCAGGGCTGGAAGTTACCACCCCCAAAGATACCAGAAAGGAATACTTGTCCAAGACTCTGTCACTCCAGTTCAAAACTGGCATCTAAGCTAATGTGACTGACATGAGTACAGCACTTTAGCTGCTTGGGGGAGCAACCACAAGCATAGAGATGACTAATTGGGGGTAACAGCACTGTAAGACACTCCAGGATGATGAGTTGCCAGAGTTTGTCTGGCGCAGCTTTGGCTGTGTGAATGCTTTTCGCCTACTTCAAAGCAAAGTCACTGTCTGTCTTTGAACTATCACTTCTTTCATGTATAGTTGTGTAAGAATGCATTTAAGAGCGTATCACAATATGCCTAGGTTAGAATATGCCATTCATGTGTTTTTTCTGCTTCATACTCTGTGTTGGATGTATTTAAGTCAAGTCCTAACAAATTCTCTGGATCTTGTGCAGATTTATCTTTGAGCAGTTCATAAAATCAAACCATACTTCACTACATTCCCCAAATCCCAGACTCCCTGTATTCTGTGATAGATTTTAGAAAAATTATTTTAAATCCCCTTCTGATGTAGTATGTTCGTTGGACACAGGATTTTTTTTCCCACTGTACACCAGCAACTTACAATTGCCAATGTTTATCTCACAGGTAGGAGAGGATATAGGCAGAGATGAGGTACAAGACCCATCACACTGTCCTTCCCAACTTCTCTTCTTGCACTGCTCAACAAAGAGAGCAGTGATGACTGAAAGTTTCTCTCCCTACAGTAACTGAGGCTCAGTCTGTCTTAGAGCCAAGCCTTGCCCCTGAGGGTGCAGAGTTGTCAAGTGCAGGAAGGAACCTGCATCAGTGTCTGGGTCCGTGTACATACTACTGATACATAAACCACCCATCTCTCACCTTTTCTAAAAGCAAAGAATTGCTCTTACCATTTAAATCATCTAGGCAAACAAAATAGAAAGTAAGTAGTGCTTTAAAATGTTAATTGAATGCAAATTAGGTTCCAAATTAAATTTCAGGGAATGTTCAAGGATGAAGAATGAATCCTTTTCTTTATTCATGGCGATTTGCATAATAATCAAATAATCTGTATTATTACATACTTTCACTACATAGACTTCTTCTGGTAAGGAATATCAAAGTAGTTCATGATGGGTTAAAATACATTTAAATAACCTTTTTTGTATCTTTTGGCTGAGTTTTGCTGTGACTGAATATGTTGTGTCACTGAAGCCGTGCAAGCATTTTCACATTGGCAAAGGCAATAATATTTGTTCTGTACCATTTCTTTTACTTCAAATAGATGTGCATAACCTTTGATACTCTTGTGTGTCTGATTGTATTGATTCTCTTCATACTGCTCCTGTTTTCTTCATAGCATCATAAAAGTGGGCTTTGGAGAGCATAAAATATAAATGTGTTTAAATCTAATTTGTGATCATGGAATTCACTTGCCAAAACATCCTGTTACTGAAACTTTGGGCTATATATTAATACAAGGTCATAAGTGTTTCTTGCCCAGGGAAGACACTGTTTTCATGACCCTTGCTGAATTATACCACGTCCAAAGTTACTTTACACAGCGACAGTGCTAATCTTGGCTAAGAGGAGGAAGTCCATCTCTACCAAATGATGAGTGAACTTTGCTGAAGGAGCAGATAATGTTCTTCTCCTTGCTTATCATAAAGGTTGTAAAAGAACTTTAATTCCAGAGAAAGATCTACATCCACTGTGATTCATTAACAGCTACAGATCACTGAATCAAAGGCTATATGTTTCCCTGGGATAAGAAATCCCCTGTTCTTAGTTCCTTTCACAACTCATTTTACTGTAAAAGGGATTACTATAAAAGAGATTGATAATGCTGCTCCTGCCTTTTGCAAGGATCACGTTGATGGGATTATGCCCAAACACAGACCAGCTGGCAAAGCTACACTGTCTCAAAAGGAACACCGGGGCAGTGTTTTGAAGCACTGAGAAGTTCCCTCCAAGGATGAAATGCATGAATTTGGTAATGAGTTACAAGGAAAAAGAAGCCTGAAACAATTGACAATCTTGGTCATGAGTGCCAAACCATGATTTTAAACTCGCTGCTATCACCATGTGCTTTTATTATGGCCCACGCACGCAGTTCAAGTGTCCCTAATTTCCCCATGTGGGCTTTAAGATTTCTTTCTTTTGCAGCTTTAAGATTTCTGTTAAACTGCACATTTCTTTATGTACAGTGTAAGAAACATGAACTGTTTATCTGTGACCTGAAACTGAGAGATCTGAAACTTTAAAGCTATGCACATCTTTCTGAAAAGCCTCATGTATTCTGCCATCCTCCAGTCACATAGGGGTCTATTTCATACTTTGAGATTGGTGATCACTTAGTCTGGCTGCCTGAAGAATATAAAACATAAACCTGCTGATTGCTACTCCTGCATTGCTCACTTTTGTACTAACTATAAAATTTTTTCTGGTCTTATTTTGGGTCTTCAGGAGGCTGCAGCATCATTCACCGTCTGGTGCATTCTGCTTGTCAGTAAAAACAGTGGTGCTGTCTGAGCTACAGCAGTCTTTTAAACAGTCTGCACACACTCTTCAAAATCATTCAGTCTGGTGCCGACTCTGAAGAATTAACCAGCCATATATAATTATTTATTGGAACAATAATAGCAGTTTTTCTTTTAGAA